ACACTATACAAAATTTATGAGTTTTTTGACAATTGGAGCAGTCAAGCAAAAAACTTTACAAAAAATTTTGCGGGAAGCATTTTGTAATACAACAGCTGTAAAACAAATGTGCGTGCTTATATTATTTGGAAAAATTCTTACAGGACCCTGGATGACAACGTTTTATGTATCATCTGAGAGTGCAACTTTTGATCATGTTGGTGGTATTGCAATACTTAAAAAACTTGTGCAAACAATTGAAGATTGCAAATGTAATCCAGCTGCAATCTTTTGCAGAGAAACAGACTTTTTCGGAAATACTCTCCTTCCAAATATTTAAGAACCAATAACAAAAATATGTACAATTGATGCCCAGGTTATTGCTATAACTAAGGCTTGTCTCATTGCAATAAATGAGGTTTTGAATAGGCAGTATAAGCGTTACTTTTCCATTACAATTACACAGGCACTTCTAGTGGAAACAGCAAGTGCACGACTTCATAACATACACAGTGAGGAGTTAATGATAATGTTCAGTGCTGCTAAAGAAAGATCTCCTAATACAACAATTGACAATATATATGTTGCAAGTTAAGAACCAAGAAGAATAGGACTGTGGATTATCTTGACAATCATGATGACTTTTCTAGAGAAAAGGTTATTAATGGGCTTTCAGGCAACACGAAAAAATCGAATAAAAAATCGACTCTAACATGCAGAAATTAGAACTGAAATTTCTAAAAGACAGACTGATAAACGAAAAAATATGGATGAAAAAGAAAAGCAACAATTAGAGCGACACTTATCGTTACTAACTATCAGTGAAATTCTGAATTTGTTTCAAAACATGTCTACTAAGCGAATTCATGATTTAAATGATGTTATGTGTGAAAAGATTGTTGAAAGAAATCTATGTCATGAATGGTACGATATGAATTCAGCAATGACAGTCTCGTATGATGGCAGATTGGAAAAACATAAAAAACACAGAACAACATCATTTACACTATTTCATACTGGACTAAAGATGAAACTGATTCTGAAACTATTGACTACTGTATACAAAAGTTCCAGCTGGTTGCTGATGTTGTGTCGGGCGAATTAATATTTTCATAATTTAAATGTTGCCATATGTCATAATACTTATGCAATAGCATACTAGGCACCTAAAGTCAAAACATGGAAAAATGTTTATTAGCTGGGTCATATCACTTTCAATTCAATTTTAAAAAGTATCGCAAGTAGTGGAACTTGCAACATCAAAAAAGTACCGCAAGTAGTGGAACTTGCAAAAAGGTACAGCAAGTAGTGGAACTTGCAAAATGGTACAGCAAGTAGTGGAACTTGCAACAAAAAAAGTACTGCAAGAAGTGGAACTTGCAAGAAGTACAGCAAGTAGTGGAACTTGCACAAAAAAAAGTACCGCAAGTAGTGGAACTTGCAAAAAGGTACAACAAGTAGTGGAACTTGCAACAAAAAAAGTACCGCAAATAGTGGAACTTGCAAAAAGGTACAGCAAGTAGTGGAACTTGCAACAAAAAAAGTACCGCAAGTAGTGAAACTTGCAAAAAGGTACAGCAAGTAGTGGAACTTGCAACAAAAAAAGTACCGCAAGTAGTGGAACTTGCAAAAAGGTACAGCAAGTAGTGGAACTTGCAAAAAGGTACAGCAAGTAGTGGAACTTGCAAAAAGGTACAGCAAGTAGTGGAACTTGCAAAAAGGTACAGCAAGAAGTGGAACTTGCAAAAAAAAGTACCGCAAGTAACCGGTGATGCGGAAGTTATCGGACAAAATAAAAACGTCAATAACTTAAATAAATAAAAAAACAAACTGCTATTATATTATTTTTAAATAAAGCATTTATCTTTTAATAAAAATATATTACTTTTTATAAGAAAAAACACCACCATCTGCAATTGATCTCAATTTCGCTCTGACGCCTTTCATATGCGACTGTAAAAAGTTTAAATCAATTTCTTGTAGTTTTAGTTTAATGTGATCAATCAAAACTTGCTCTGTTAAAGCTTGCCAATCTCCCTCGTACACCTTCTGTGCCAAAGTCCCTAAAAATTTTCAATTGGTCGTGCTTAAGGCACATTTTGGGGGTTGGATTCTTTATCAACGTAATAGGCATTTTGGTCCATCCAATTTAGAGAATCTTTAGAATAATGAGAACTTGCTAAATCTGGCCAAAATAAATAGTTAAAGTCTCCATGATACTTGATAATAAAGGGAAGAAGTCGTTTTTCTAAACATTCATTAATATAGATTGATGAATTGATCGCTACAGCCTTGGAAGTGCGAAACAATGGCTCGGACATACCACGGTCAGATATGGCTATCTACATTAAAAATTTTTTTGGAAATTTTTCTTTTCCTATAAAACTTACACTATCTTGGCATGTCTTTTTGTTGTTTGTGTAGTATCCAGAATTTCCAGGCATGTTGTCCCCTGCAAAACAAAAGTATGTTTCGTCATCGATGACTAGAAGCAATTTTTTGTTATAGAGTTGGTTAACTAGTTTCCTGCTTCTTTTCTTTGCCTTTATTTGTTGTTCTATGGTGTATTTTGGAGTCTTTTTACGTTTTCTATATTTAATATTCATTTTTTTTAATTGAAGACCAATTGTCGATTGATTTACACCGAATTTAATACCTATTTTTCTCTGACTGACCCCTTTTCGATTGTTGAAAAGTCTCGTTAATTCGGCTTTCTTTTCTCTAGTCCATGATGTCGGACGACCGGGGTGCTTTCTATCAGAAAACGATTGAACAGTTTCAAGTCTTTTTAGGTTATCATGTATTGTACTTCGAGCAAATCCTTCCTTTTCAAAATGATTTACGATTTTTTTTTTTTATATATATATTAGGTTTATTTACAAAAACATTTTAAATCGCTTTCGAAAAGATTCTCGTTCAGCTGCATTTAATCTCATTTTAAGTAATTGTGTTTCAAATAATAAAGTTTATATTTTATAGAACGTTTATGTCTACGCATAAAACCACAAAAACTAATTATTATGCTCAAAAAATGTATTTAGGATTTGTCCGACAACTTCCGCATCACCCGTTAGTGGAACTTGCAAGAAGGTACAGCAAGTAGTAAAACTTGCACAAAAAAATGTACTGCAAGTAGTGGAACTTGCAAAAAGGTACAGCAAGCAGTGGAACTTGCTCAAAAAAAAGTACCGCAAATAGTGAAACTTGCACGAAGTACAGCAAGTAGTGGAACTTGCAATTTTTCGTCGTGTCTATTGTTAATAATAGTTTTTATTTAGTTTCATTATTGGAATTAAATATCTTAATCATTAACTAAAAGCCAAGACAAAATTGAATTAAAATAATTTTTTGAATTATTTTTTAAAATTCATTCTAATATTTTTATGAACATCTTTGATAAATATAAAATCAAAGATGTTCCTCTCGTATTTGGTGGAAGGAAAATTTTAATTATCCTGGAAGGAAATTAAAACAACTACTTTCATATGAAAATTAATTATTATATACACTTTTAATAATGTATTTATGTTTTTTTAGGTTTGAGGTGGAGGGATACAACCTGCCCCTGATTCGATGTGCGCAGCTAGTATATGTTTTAATTTAGTATATAATAATACAATTTGTTGTAATCTAGTATATAATAATATCATTATAATCTAGTACATAATAATATAATTTGTATTTTTTATACTAGATTTAATTTTTTTAAATAAATAAAAAAATAATATTTTTTAATTATAGGGTGTTTAACCCTATAACCCACCCCTTACCATATACACCCATTTTTTAGGTTAGTCCCACCTTTTCTCTAAAAAATTCCTATAATTTAAAAAAAAATTATTAATAGGGTGTTTTAAATAATAGGGTGTTTACCCCCCCCCCCCATACACCCTGACTTAAAAATCAACCTCATATTTGTTAAAATAGAAAGAAATTAAAGCAACTACTAGCATATAAAAATTAGCAAATTCAATAATAAATACTCTTTTATAGATGAATTATTGATATTATGACAGTAAAGGTGAAGGTTGGGTGGCCCCTCTAGTCCACCAGATACAGCCTGAGGGTGTCGGCTAGTGTTAATGTGTAGATTATTCTTATATCTAACTATTGACACCAAGTTTTAAGCATTTAAACAAGAATTGACAAAGTTATAATAATTTTAGTTAAAAAAAACTTTATTTTGACCACAGTTTCATCAACAAATCCATACATCCAAAAATCGTTACTAAAAACGTCATAACTTCTTGTGGAATCGCTCGATTTTGATAATTTTTTCACTTTTAAAATATTCAATTGAAGCTCTTTCTAATGATTTATAACAACCTAGAATTTATTTAATTTAAAAATTTCATGTAGCATACCTAGTTAGAGAAACTTAAAACTTAATTTATTGAAACAACGGCAGTTGAAGAATGCTAAATATTGATAGAAAAAAACTGATAGAAATGTTGGTTTGATAGAAAAGGAAATATATTAAATATATGTATATTATTGTAGAGATTATTTGAATAATTTTGCTTTATTTTATTATCTTTTTGTTGTAATAATCTTAACTTTTCTTTAATATAATTTGAGTGTTATTAACACATTTATCTTTTATATTCTTATAGTTTAACAGGAATAATATTAAGATAAAATCTTCTTTATAAATATAGCTTAAGAATATTATTGTGTTATGCAATGTTGTTGAAATCAAAAAATGGGTACCTAAGTATTATTAACAGGGTTTCCCACTCGGCATGCAAAGCATGCAATTGTTTACATAGGCATGCAAAGCATGTAAAAGCATGCATTTTTGTTAATTAAGCATGCAAAAACAAAAATAATCAATTTTCAAATTAAATTTCTTGAAATTCATTTTTTTTTAAATACATTACAGTGTAGTTTTTGTATAAAATTTGAAAAGAAAATGTCTATTATTAACAATGTTTTGATATTATTTACATTTTATCAATCATTTTATACTATTAAATTTATTTAAAACTGCTTTTTGTTTGAAATATTTTAGTTAATTTAGATTTTCTAGATTTAATACAAACTAAAATATATAAATGGGCAAGACCATTTACCAAAAATCTTGGAAAAGTAGATTCAAATGGGTGACAGGTGTTAACAACAGTTTAAGTTTAGTTCATTGCATTTGTTGTAAGACATCTTTCAGTATATCTGCCAGTGACATTAGTCAACTTGTGAAGCACAATAAAGGTAAAAAACATGTCAGAAAACATCCTTGTAAAATATCAAACAACCAAAAGCAGTTCAATGAATCAGTTAGACTTTCAAATGTTAGATGTTCGAATGTCCGTGTAGATGATTAGATCTCTCATGCAAAAATTATGCAAGCTTTACATGTTGTCAATTGTAATTATATTTTCAAGTCAACAGAAAATGATAACACAAGGTTTACGTCTATGTTTCCTGATTCTGTTGTGGCAAAGCGTTACAAGCAAGGTGAATAAAAAATTAAATATCAAATACAATTTGGAATTGCCCCTTATGTTAAAAGTATGTTAAAATCTGATATTAAAAAAACTACATTTACTTTTAAGTTTGATGAGACAACAACTAAGCAAGTAAAAAAACAGTATGATGGATATCTCCAGTATTGGTCAGACAAAAAAGGAGAAATTGTAACGTCATATTGTGGTTCTCTGTTTATTGGTCATTGTGACCACAACCAACTAGTTGATCATTATTTTAAATTTAAAACTGACTTGGAGTTGGATTCTGCATATCTTTTACATGTTGGGATGGATGGGCCAAATGTTAACAAAGCCTTTGAAATGAAGTTATCACTGGATTTGAAGAAAAAGTCTGAAAATATTTTTATTGAGCTCAGTACATGTAACCTTCATAAAGTCCATACTGCTTTTAGAAAAGGCATTAAAAAGCTTTCTTTTGATTTAGATGAACTTTTTATTGATATTCACTTTTTTTTTAAGTTGTCTAGTGCCAGATGTGAAGATTATGCTAATTTAGTTGATTTAACTAATTTGGTTGCTGAGTTTGCCAATAAACATATAGAAACGCAATGGCTTTCTATGAAATATGTTGCTGTTAGGATTTTGGAACAATGGGTGAAACTTAAAGAATATTTTTTAACATTTCTTCCAAAACAAAAAAACTTTAGCGCTTTGTTTAAAACAGATTAGATACAAAAGAATTTGTAAAGCTCTGCGCAATGATATTCAGACTCAAGGGTATTTAGGTTTTTGTGCTTTCTCAGCACAAGATTTTGAAGCATTTTTAGTACAATTTCAAACAGAATTTCCAATGATTCACATGCTTTATCCTGCGATGTGTAAACTATTAAACTCTTTACTTCAAAAATTTATTCTTTCAAAAAAGTTAAAAAATGATAATGGAGAGTTCAAGTCACAGCCTGAAATTTTAATGATTGATTTCTGCAAAATCAAAAACCATAGCAAATTAAGTTCAATTGAATTAGAAACAAAAGTCAAATTGCTGTTGCATGGAGCTGCTCTACCTAATTCAGTAGATGAAAAATTTAGGACCGAGTGCAAAGAGCTTTATATTGCTTCTGCATCATATTTACAAGAAAACTTACCTTTTGTTTCACTTTTAAAGCATGCTCAATTTCTTCATCCAAAAAAACGTATTGCTTCAGGTGCAACAAGTGCAATATCTAATTTAATATTGAGTCGCTTCAGTTTTAGAAAAACAATTTAGCCCGGTTTTTCATCTAAATGATATTTCTTCAACCAAAGAATCTCTGTGTGATAAAGTTAGAGATCAATGGTTGTCTTATCAGAATGAGGTCATCTTAGAACACTTTTATATAAATTCACAACTACCTACTCCATGTGTCGCTCAACAGCAAACATTATATTGGTCTTATGCTTTTAGTACTTGTTATTTAAATAATATAAGCAAACAATCCAAATATAAGCGAATAGATAATTATTGGAGTCAAGTGGGCACTATATATGATGAAGCAGGCAATTTAAAATTCCCTCAGCTGCTTGCACTTGTTAAGCGTGTTTTAACTCTTAGTCATGGCAACAGTTCACCCGAAAGAGAATTTTCTATAAATAAGAACTTTATAGAAGCTCACAGTACCAACTTAAAAGAAGACACCATACCACAAGAGGACACCATTGTTGCATTGAGATTAGGTATGGCCTAAATAACAATATTTTTATCTTTTTCTTTTTTAGTAATATCAAAATATTTTATGATAAATAGTTTGATTTATTGCAACATTTTTTTTAGTTAAAGATGAACTTAATCAAGTAGGTGGAGTTATGAACTTTCCAATAACAACTAACCTAATTAAATGTTGTAAAGAGTCTCATCAAAGATATAAAGTTTATTTGGCTGAGAAAACTAAATTAGTAAAGGCTGAATCAGAAAAAGTAAAGCAAACAGAGTTGCTGACAAAATCTTTACAACGGCAAAAAACAGATCTCGAACTTATTGAAGCAGATATAAGGTATATTGTTTACCATTGTTTTAATAAAATTTGTGTACTTTCTTTATTTTATTGTTTGAATTTTGTCATAAAAACTTTATTTTATTGAACAAAATATTTAAATTTTATTACATAAAAGGTATGCAAAGCTGGCATCGAGGTTGCAGAAACTGCTATTGATAAAGGTAATGGAAAACTTCAGCAAGCACTACTTAAAGTAAAGTTAGATAAAACTGTATGCCAAACTTCACAAGCTATGATTGACATGGGAATAAAGCGTAAAAGGGAATTACAAATAAATCTTGACAATTTAGAAAAAAAGAAAAAATTAGTGAAATAATATTCTAATGAAAAAACATTTTTTACTTAACTTTTTATGTTTTTTTTTATTTAATAAAATATCAAACTTTATAAATTTTGGAACATATAATATATTATTAAATTATATTAATATACTATAATACTAAGTACATTTGTTTTGAGTCTAATATATAAAAGAAACCTGTTTTAATGCAAGATAATTATCAAAACTAAATGTAAACTTTAATAGTAAATGTTGTTAACATGAGTTTGTGTTGAGTGTTATGTGTTGACTAAAATTTTGTTGTCTTTGTTATATAAATATATATAGATGTATGTATATATATATATATATATATATATATATATATATATATATATATATATATATATATATATATATATATATATATAATATATATATGCCAATAAAAATTTACATTATATTTTAAAAATAATAAAAATTTACATTAAATTTATAAATGATGGCTGGGAACCCTGTATTAACATATGTGGCATTAGATAGGAAAAGTTATCAAGTCTTTATATCTAGATTTGGGCATATAAGTGTTTTTAGCAAAATAGTCTGAAAAATTTGTTGTGGACTTTATTTATTTTTATTTTTTTCTTGGAGTTTAATCAACATTTAATATTTTTATCTAAATAAATTTGGTAATTTGTTTACTTATAAATACAATAAATAAATATAAATAAACCAACAAAGTTGTGATACACATTATTAGTGAATAGTCTGACAAAAGTAGATGACTTTACGAGCTTTTCACAGTTTAGTATTTATTTATCGTAGAGTGTTAAAAATATAATTAAGTTTTTCGTTTTCTCAACTTCTAGTTATAAATGGTTTCATTTGTCGGCTATTCTATTTATGAAAAATTTATGTTGGCTTTTTAGATTGTTGTTTATATATTATTTATTGCTGTCTTTTTTAATAGAATTTTCTATAAAGATTTGAGCATTATACCAATTTATTACATCCAAGTCATTAATAATTCTGTATAGTTGTATCACATCACCTCTTGATCTTCTAATTTTTAATGTGGAGAGAAAGGTTTATCAGTGAGTTTTTATATAATAAATTTTTTAAACTATATGTTGGAGTTGTTTAATCATAATAACATGTTTCTGTATATGTAAACTCCTTAATGGGTTCAATATTCAAAGTGAGGTCTAAATAATGATGTAAGTAATAATGTTATTTCTTTTATCTAATTATTTCAAGAAGTATTTGATTCGGCCTAATGTCAAACTTCCAAAGTCATTTTTTCTCTATAATTTCATTTTTAAAACGCTTTCATTAATCGTTATAAAGAATTACCAATAATACTTTTTCTTATTTTGGTATTTTATATGAAAACACCTCAAATCTAATAATTTCAATTATTAGATTTAATAGTATTGATGTTTTGTTTTTAGAGATTGTTTGTGATGGTCAATTTGCCACCACATAAAAGTAGCAAATAATAATGAAGCTATGGCAATAAACATGTTGAAACAAAATGCCAAATCTCAAGTTAAATGGTTCATCTAAATCTGGTAAATTTACACTTAATCAAATAAGTTATTAATATTTCTGTTTTCAGTGTTTAAGTGAAGGAAAAGTTTTGTTCCCTTATTTTTAATATTACTAATGACTAGGTTTTCTGTGTTTTATAAAATAGCTTCTGTATATAAAAATATTTAGGAAGATTGAGAGGCAATTAATTTTTTTCTTTTTCTTTTTATTTATTCAAAACAGGTTTTACGATAAAAGCATAAATAAAGTACATAAAATACATACAATAGGAATTACAAATTTTGTTAACTTTACAATAAGTATGCAGATGCTCGCAGAAGATCATCCGATCTTATCATCTAGAACCGCCTTGACAGTTTTTAAATAAAAAATAATTGTTTAATGATACATATGTAAATATTCACCCATACAGACATAAATAATTATTCACTCACATATAAATATGCAAACATATTAGTATATATACTTGCACATACACACACCTATACATGTATATGTCTAAATTTGCACAATTGTCTTATTTATTCAAATTTGATTAATTTTTTATCAATGTAGTTTTCAAGTCTCCTAACATTTTTAGCGCTCCTTAACACCTTATACCTACCAGATACAAGTAGTAAATTAAATCTTTTTCAGTTCCCTTGCTGACAAGTTTGTGTTGCAGTTAGATAAACAGATTTCATCTGGATATTGTCAATAATGAAAAACGTTTTATTAGGATTTCAATTTAAATACTTTAAATATATTTTAATAATGCTAAATAATATACGTTCAATCTTAAAAATTTTAATAGTATAATGATAATGTGCATCTTTCTTAAAATGTTTAAGATGCTTTGAATTGTAATCATATTGTGGCAAAATTTTTAAGTCATAGATATTTACAAATAGATATTTATAATAAAATGATAAATTAATTTTTTCACAGCGTGTTATATACTTTATTTAGAATCTGCTGTAAAGTAAATTAAATATTCAATCATAAATTGTCAAATCTCAAGACATGAAATTGTTAATGGAGTTTTGGTCCATAATAATCCAAGTAACACATGTTTTAATAAATATATTTGTAAGTATCCTGCGTTTTTTTGTAATTGTAAATTTTCATTGCGATATTCATTACATTTTAGTTCACAAAGTTATAAAAAGATCCTTTACTCAAGTCTATGAAACTATGGTTTGATGTTAATGGATTAAACTTTTTCGTCGATAATAAAAACAATTGTTATTGTAACATGATAACCATGTTGTTTATATGATGTGACCATTTTGTATATATGTTGTTACTATGTTGTATTAGTATATATGTAATAAATTATTAAGTTTTGTTTATGTTTATTTTTATTTTATTAAAGTTAAAACGGATTTAACCACTAAAAAAGAAATTAACGTTACAAATTGAAGCAGAAATTTATAACGAATCATGTTGACGATTGAATATGAATCGCAGAAAAGCACCATTGACGAATGGTTGTAAATCAAATCTTTGTATAATAATTGCTTTTTGTCGCGTAAATATATAAGTCTGTTTTAAGAAATTTAAGCCTGTTTTTTAAATTTATTCATAGCAGTTAAAATTGTCAATAATTTGTTTAATTCATTTCATTGTCCTTAAACTAATGAAAAATACGCCAATTTTTAACCAAAAAATTACAGTCGATTCTGCTAAAGATAACTTTAAATAATTAGGAAGTCTAAATATAAAGGAAAATATAGGGACTTCAAATAGGATTGCCCGAAGAAAATCTATAACAATCCCATGCGCGACTTAGTTACGAAAGACAAAATCACGATGGTACGATGTAGAACTGGCTAATCGTTGTTCTGCCAGTTCTTGTCCTCCACTGGCTAGCCACAGCTGGTCCATGAAAATCCTTAGAGCAAAACGGAGCTTCGCCAACAATGGCAGCCACAGCCGGTGTAGCGCGGCAGCCTATACAGGACCAGTGCGGGACCATTATATCCTTGCTGTCTGGGTATTTATATTTCTAATTAATAGAATACAATTGCGTAAAACTATTTAATTTAATTAAACATAATAAATAGTATCAGCTTAACTAAATAATAAACTAAATGATTTCACTGAAATTGAAGTGTACTTTCTGTCGATTTTTAGACCTTTGTTTTTATACGATTCCTAATAAACATAAAATTCTCTATTATATTCAGCAATAAAAAGAAAAAAAAGGGAGGGGGGGGGGAGAGAAACTGAAGTAGCGCCCATTGTTTTAAACAATTTTATTTACAAACATACGTTTTTTTTGTTTATAATCAAAGCTAAAAGTGCTAGTTAAAGAATCATTAACTTATTGAATAAGTTAGTAAATGAGAACTCAAATTAATAATAATGATAATAGCAAGAATAATAATAACAACAACAATAATAACAATATTCCTTTATTATAATGTTCCTATAATAAATAATTTTAATTTCTCTAATAACTATTCTTTTCTTGAAATAAGTTTCTGCCAATCCTGATGCATATTTTTTATCCTAATGCATATTTTTTAAATGGCGGTCATTTTTCCTTTAAATCATTTCGTCCTAAGTTAGAAAAAAAAAATTCTGTTCTAACAAATCTATAAAAGACATCTTATAGACATCAAAGTTTAGATTGAAAAAAAATTATCTATGCACGAGTCTACTTTATGCATCTAATATGCATCTGAAATAGAACAAAAATCCTCCTGGTTCATAGGCTATACCCTTTTTTTCAAAATTATTGTAACCTGGTAACATGTTTAATTTTTCAAAAACTAACACTGAAGCTTTCATACTAATATTAAAATTTGCTAACGCATTGCACACATCAAATATCAAATTATCAAGTGACACAAACATGGTGTTTTGTAATCAGTCCCAAATCATATTGTTGAACGATTCATTAGCGTCCCACGTATAATAACTTATTAACTTGAATGCCAGGGTAAGTGTCAATGACACAAATGAAACTTTTAATGTCCCCTGTCCTAAAAAAATCACATTTGTACTTATCAGTAGATCTTCAAAATGCACATTTTGCACTAGTGGTCTCCATACCGCTTGCAGATCCTTTGTTATTATTTTTCCAAATATGAGAGTTCAACCATTGGGCATAGGCTGTAGGTTTTGTTTCTAAAATATCTTTCTTTAAAAGCAACAGTTGCAAAACCTGCACATTGGTTCCACATCAAAAACTTTTCAAGTGTCCATTGATAATGCAGAAAAGACACCGTTTAATGATGAAAAGTCTCTTCTCTGCCAAGTTCCACCACAAAACACACTAATATTAAAAGCTTATTTTTTTGCAATTCTGCTACTGCATCAAACATTTAATGCGATTTTTGGATTCAGCTTGCTCGATAATCCGTACATAATAAAGTCATTTTAAATTCGTCATTAAAAATTAATGATCATGTGTTTTTTAAAAGTTTGAGTTTAATAAGCTTTTTTTCGTTGATAATTATTATAATTTAATTTAATTTAATTAGTTTTTAACAGAAAGCTAAATAAAAGAAGCCAAACCTGAAAGCTGAACAGAAAGCTGAAAGCTGAATAAAAGAAGCCAAACCTGAAAGCTGAACAGAAACAGAAAGCTGAATAAAAGAAGCCAAAATACAAAATTGGAATAAAACTGCAAAAACAGTCTTTTAAAAACAAAACAGTCTATAATAATAAACTTTCAAATAAGTGAACTAAATAACATCAACAGTTTTTTACATTTACAATCAAAAGTTAGTAAAGCCATCGGCATGATGTACCGAGTTCGTCCTTATGTTAATATTATATGTCTTAAATTAATTTACTTCTCTTTAATTCATTGTTATATCAGTTATGCCAATATTACATGGGGCAGCACGCAAACTACTAAACTTAAAAATATACTTAGTGTTCAAAAACATGCGTGTAGAATTATATACGGAAAAAAAAGAAGGGAGCACACGAAACCCTTAATGCTTGACATGAAAATGATGAATATTTATGAAATAAATATTTATCAACACCTAATTTTTATGTATAAGTTTACAAATAACCTAACTCCAGTAAATTTTAATTGTAAGTTTAAAAAAAATATAAATGAAAAGTATTTCCTTAGAACAAACCAATCAAATTTCTTTAAATTGCCTAAGAAACTAAACAAGTTTACAGAGTGTTTAATAGCATTTCGCGGACCAAAAATATGGAACTATTTTAAAAAAAAAGAAGCTAAAAAAGATAGTATGGTAAAATCATTAAACTCATTTAAGTTGCTAGCAAAAAAACACATTTTTAATTCGGAGGAATTACAAGAACTCCGTTAAGTTTTATCAAAATAGTTTTACTTTTTTATTCTTTGAAAATTTAATTGTACATATCTTTTGTAGTTATTTATGCAATGGTGTATATATTTTAAATCCTTGAGTATTTAAATTTGAAGTTTTTACATCTTACTTTTATCTGCAGTTTATTTGAACATTTTGACGACATTTTATTTTTTCAAGGGGCTCTATGAAAAGATTGTGGTGGTATTGTATCACCCATATCTTCTTTGAGTCCCGGTCTGTTTTTTAAATTGTGTTATTTGTTTATATATTTTATTACGTGATAATCTTATGTAACTTATTTTATTAAACAGCAAAATAAAAAAAAAACTAAACTAAAACTAAACTAAAAAAAACAAAAAAAACAGTTATAAAAAAAAAATAAAAAGTAAAAGTAATTAACATAAAAAAAATTGATAACTTTTTATAACTTCAACGCTTATTTTAATTTATTTAACATAACAAAGAAATATTTTTTCTAAAATAACATACTAAAACAGAATAAAAAAGCATAAATAACAAAGATTTTGAATAATTTTATTTTTTTAAACATATAAATAAAATGGTTTAAAAAAATTATCCATAAAAATATAAATTTAAAAAAATACAAGATTTAATTTTAAATTTATTTAAATACGACCAAGCAAATACAAGACGTCTTTAAGACCATTTTAATTAGGTCTTTAAATAGTCTTTTCTTCAATATCTGGTTTTTATAAATCATTTTTATCGGCGCTTGTCTTAAACCTATTATTGACGTCTTAAAGACGCCTTTGAAAAGACAAATAAAATATTTTGTGGTTTCGTATGACGTCTTTGGTACGTCAATTTTTTACTTTAGTTGAAGTATTTTAAATAGCCCTTTTTAAAACGTCTTGAAAACGTCTTAAAAAAGACTGTGTCAATGTGAAAATTGTTTGTGTTTAAACACGTTCACTGCTGAGCTATTTTAAATATGCTTTATTTCTTTGCCGAGCCATAATGTCTGCAATGATTAATTTTTGTTGAGGCTTTGTTTTGCGCGGTTTCATTCTTATTGCTAATGTTAGGTATCAACATTTTAATAAATAAAATATTTTTAGTTTAAAGTAATTCTATGGTATTTTTCACTCTCAACATAACTGACAAAAAATGAGCAATACGAGTATACTCGTACTTTGGCTATGGAAAAGAAAGTTTTTTCCTTAATTGCCGAGAACAATGTACAAGTTTACTTGTAACACGTACATACTCTATGTACAAGTTTACTCGTAACACCGTAATGAGTTATACTCATTGCGGTGACTAGCGTTCTAGCTTATTTTATAATAATAATATAGTTAAGCTTTAACCATTGTTTTACCAATTTACAGAACACAATAACAGTAGAGGTTGTGTTGTGACAGTGAAACACAATAACAGAAGAGATTGTGTTGTGACAGCTCTACTGTTACTTAATTCAAGCGTATCATTTGATGCATAGTTGTATAAATATTGTTTCAATTTTCTTTCACATGCACACGCACATTGGCAGTTATCATGAGTTAAAAAGGTTATTTATATATTTTTTTTCTTAATTCTAAGTTGTTGTGTTTTTTTAGACTAGAAGCTAAAATATATTTGATAACTACATTATACTGCATTTTATTGAAAATGTAAAAAAAATTTGAAGTACAAAATAAAACGTTTTTTAATATATTAAAAAACATTTTAATATGCATTTTGAATTTTTTAAACATTATACTAGTTAATGTGTTTTTAGATAAGTAATTTCTCTCTTATAAATAGATAATTTATAAATTTACCAATCTCATATTAGGTCAACACAGATATTCCACATTTGAATCAGCACATATGATTATGCAAGATATTTAGGATAGTGAAGATAATGATATTGAAGATTCAGATTCATTTTTCGCTTATACTACCACTTCTTCGAGCTTGACTGCATCAGAATCAGGTTTTGAAAAAAATAACACTGAAGAAAGTGATGACGATCAGTTAACAGACGTTCATCTGGCAGCCACTGCAGAAGATTTTTTAATGCCGCCGAAAAGAGCTAGAACAACAGGTGGTCTAGCTTATAGACAAGTTGAAAACAAAGCTCAACTAGTAGATCTTATAAGTAATATTTTGCATGACAAAACAACTTCTAAAACAAATCCATCTGGAAATTTAAACCAATGGAAAGATGAGCCGAATATTGAAAAACAAATTCAATTTACTGTCGATCCTGGTTTGAAGGTAAACATGGAG